AACTGAATTAGAAAGTGAGAGCCTGTCTCAAAAAGAAAAAAAAAGAAAGAAGGAAAGAAATTCAGATGATTACCAATATCTACTTTGAGAGCCTGTAGGTTAGTAAGACTAAAAATGCAAGAGAAATGGACAGATTCCTTGGCACCAACAGTCAACATCATAGTAAATGGATAAAAACTGAAAGCTTTCACTCTAAAATCAGGAAAAAGACAAGGGTGCCCACTATCATGACTCCTGTTTAACACAGTTTTGAAAAGATTAGCCAGAGCAGTTAAGACAATGGAAAGAAATAACAGGAATGAGAATAGGAAAAGAAGAATTATCATTATTTGCAGTTAACATATACTCTACATAGAAGACCCCAAGAACTCCACCAAAAGACTTCTACATTTAAATAACCAAATTTAGTAGCACAGCTAGATAAAGTCAACATTGAAAAAAAATCAACAGCATTTCTGTACATAAATAACAAGCTCACTAAGAGACAGTAGGGAAACAACACCCTTCACAATAGCATCCAAAAAAATACAATACCTAGGAATCAATCTAACAAAGGAAGTAAAAGACCTTTACATTGAAAACTACAGTACTCTGAAAAAAGAGATCAAGAAGATACTGGAAAAATAGAACAATACCCATTGATCTTGGGTAGAAAGAACCATTATAGGGAAAATGGCCATACTTCCAAAACTGTTATACAGATTCAATGCAACCCAAATCAAAATTCCAATAGCATATCTCATAGAATTTGAAAAAAGAATCCTAAATTCATTTAGAACCAGAAGTGACCTAGAACAGCAAAGGCAATTCTGGAGAATCAAGGAAAGGCAGGGGCATCACAATCCCTGACTTGAAATTGTACTGCAAAGCCACTGATAAAAACAGCATGGTACTAGTAGAAAAAAAAGACTAGAGAGAGGCCCAAGGATCAAAGGAACAGATTAGAAAACACAGAAACAACTCCAAACACACTCAGCCACTTTATCTTTGACAAAGGTGCCAAACACCGTCATTAGAAGAAAGATAGGCTTTTTGATAAATGGTGCTGGAAAAACTGGCTTTCCACATATCAAAGATTAAAACTAGACTCATATATTTCACTATGCACCAAACTAAAACTGAAATGGATCAAAGATCTAAATATTAAAACAGTAGAAATCTTGAAAACACTGGTGTAAGCAAAGACTTTATGAACAAAACCTTTATCTCATAGGAACTAACACAAAAGAATCAACAACTAGGATCTCAAATTATTAAAAAGCTTTGCACAGCAAAAAGACCACCAGCAGAGTGAATAAACAACCCATGGTGTGAGAAAAACATTTTGCCAGCTATTCCTCTAAGGCTTACTATTTATAATAAAAAAACTCAAAACAAATCAGACCCCCCCCCCAACTTAAAGAGCTCATCCACAAATGGGCATCTAAGATGACAAATAAATATATTAAAAATGTCCAATATCCCTGGTTATTTGAGAGATGCAAATTAAAACAACACTAAGATTCCATCTCACTCCAGAAAGAATGGCTGCCATCAAGAAATTAAGCAATGGGCTGGGGATTTAGCTCAGCGGCATAAGCGCCTGCCTTATAAGCAGGCAGTCATGAGTTCAATCCCCGGTACCGATAAAAAGCAAAAAGACAAAAAAAAAAAAAAAGGAAATTAACCATTAACAAATGCTGGTGGGGCTGTGGAGAAAAAGGAACCTCTTCACCACTGTTGGTGAAAGTGAAGACTGATGTAGCCACTGAGAAATCAGTGTAGGGTGTCCTGAAAAAGCTAGAATTAGAAGTCCCATTTGAGCAACTATTTCCCTTCTGGGAATCTTTCCAAAAGAATTAAAAACATCGTACCACAGCAATATATGTGTACCCATGTTTATAGTGGCACAGTTTGTAATAGACAAATATTGGAAACAGCCCAATGCCCATCATCTGAGGAATGGATAAAGATGATGTGGTTTTTTTTTTTTTTTTTTTACCATGGAGTACTATTCTGACATAAAGAAAGATAAGCGTAAGATATTTCTAGTTAAATGGATGTACCTTGAAACTATACTTAAGTGACATAAATCAGATACACATGAAAATACCACATTGCCTCTCTGGTGTGAGAAACCAAAAGTATAAATAAGGACCAAAATATATAATAAATATTGGGAAATGGGAAGAAAATGTTCATATGAGGAGAGCAAGGGAGGAGGAAAGGGGAAGAGAAGGAAAAGGAAAAAATAGAGAATGAAAGGAAAAAAATAAGCTTGGCAACAGTGGCACACACCTGTACTCCTAACACTAAGGAGCTGAGCAGGAGGATAACCCAACAATTCAAGGCCAGCTTGGGCTACACAGTGAGACCCTGTCTTAAGAAATCCAAAAAAAGGTGGGAAGGAGGGAATGGAAAGAACTTTTGTTAGTAAGGAGAGGAAGAAGAGTTGAAGGCAGGAGAGAGGATTGGGAAAAAAAGAATCAAGATATATTATATACAGGTACAAATTCCCTATGATGAATATGATCATTACATACATCGAAAGTGTTCCAATAAAATTAATTTTAAAGGCTATGTGGCTTTCTTCATAATAGTCTGCCCTGCTTTCCACAGGATATTCTTTTATCTTGCTCTTTCCTCTTTTACTCTTCTAAGTTTACTCTGCAGAGACAGTTTCTCTCTCATTCAAAAAAAATTTTCAAGAAAAAGAATGCTGGGTGTGGTGACACATATCTGTTTTAACTTTTTTTTTTTTTTTGTCTTTTTCTTTTTTCATCCGTACCAGGGATCTAACTCACGACCACACACTTGCAAGGCAGGCGCTTATGCCGCTGAGCTAAGTCCCCAGCCCCATGACACACATCTGTAATCCCAGCATTCAAGAGGCTGAGTCAGGAGGATCATTGCAAATGCAAAACCAGCCTGGGCTACTAAGAGAAATCAAGGTCAGCCCGAACTGCATATTGAGACCTTGTCTCAGAAAAAAAAAAAAAATATGTAAAAAAAAAAAATCAAAAGTGTTGGTAAGGGTATATAGTTGGAACCCTTCTGCATTTCTAATGGGAAGGTAATATGTACATCTGCTATGGAAAACAGCCAGTTCCTAAGAAAGTTAAAAAGAACTATCATTTGACCCAGCAATTCTACTCTCAAGGAAAATGAAAGACAAGTTTGCAAAATGACTTTGAACATCGATTTTCAGTCTTAAGATCAAACTTACAACCACATAAAAGCTTTAAAAAGTAACAGGTAACTGATCTATAATTACTTTTTGAGTGCAAATGATGAAAAATGATCAGGTTGGGATGAGATGGGCTCTTTAGAAAACCTGAGTCTTGAACATAATCATTAACATAGGAGACAACTGGACAGAAAATTACATTCTACATACTATGGAAATATTGACGACATATTTAATATTCCTTTTTTAAAAACTCAGCAGCAGTACTTTGCATTTATAGTTAGGTGTACAGTCTGAAGAGGATCAAAACAAAAACTATTTACATCACATTACTAGGATCCCATTGAGAATTCAAAAAAAAAAAAAAAAAAAAAAATCAGGTACCTTGGGTTGCCAAATCCCAAAACAGAGTCAACAAGTCACTATTAGTGGCCGGAACAGATACATCTAATATTGGTGGATTTAATTATTCGAATGAAATTCTGCACTGAAATACATACATGGTAAATGCTTTCTTAGAAACTAAAGGGTTTTACAGTCACTGGTACTAGAAACTTTCACACAGCAAGCCTGATGATTAACTAGATTTTTCCAAATGTCTCCAAATATCTCCAATTTATCATATCAGTTTCTTCTTCTTTTTTTTTAATGCCATCAAACTGAAGCACAGGTCATGGTCTATGTTAAGCGAAAGCTGCTTTCAATGAAATTGCTGGTAAAAAATGCCAAATACAACTGGGTGTTAGTGGCACATGACACTAATTCCAGCACTCTAGAGGCCGAGGCAGGAGGATTCCCCAGAGCTGGAGGCCAGCCTGGGCTACCTAGTGAGTTCAAGGCCAGCCTCCTTACAGTAGGTAGAGAGTCTCTTTCTCAAAACACACAAAAAGTAACTGGTATACTTTCACATACTTTGTTTCTTGGTTTCATAATGGGAATATCTAACTACAATTTGGTGGAACAGGCATTTCAAATCCATCCAATCATTCATAATGGCTCATAAAAATAAGTTTTTTGAAACTCCATAGCAATTTACTTCTTCAGATTCTTAGTAGGTTTGGAAGTGTGATAAAGGCAAGCTACTGGATCCTTAGTGTCATGTCATTGATCAGGAATGAGTATCACTAAATACCAACGCCATCCTGTGCTCTTAGTTTCTCAGAAAATGATTGTCTAAAACTTCTGGTTGATTAATGACTAATATTCTTATAAAGAATTTTCCAGTTCAGGGATAGGGAATCACATAAGCAGCTCATAACACGCTTCAAATGCATCAAAAAGGCAGCTGAGTAAAGAAAACAGCAAAGATTTTAAAAATTGGAGGGGTAGTGTTATATAAGAGGGGTTTCAAAGACAGAATCTGGATCCCCTTGCTCTTTCTCCAAAATCACCAGTCACGGAGAAGCGGCTTTCGTATCTCCGCAGCGCGGGACGCACTGAAGTTTCAATCTCCAAGTGAGCCTGTGACCCCGCGAACCCTTCGCCGTCCCTCGAGACATCCACACACTAGGGGACCAACCTCCACCTCCTCGTCGTCCTCCTCTTCCTGGAGGGGCCTCGACCTCCTTCTCCTCCTCCTCCTGGGGGAAACCCGACCCCCTCCTTCTCCTGGAGGGGAACTCGACCCCCTCCTGGGGAGAACCCTGAACCCCTACTCCTCCTTCTCGGGGTGGTGGGGGGCGCCGGACCTCCCTCCGGAAGCAGCGCTTCTCAGGGCCACTCGCCGGGACCCAACGCAGAGCCAGGAGCTCTCTGCGCCCCGCCGCGCCTCCTCCACAGCGGGCCAGGGGCCGGCTCAGGGTGGCGCCGGCTCCCCGCGCCAACCCACACTGACCGGCTCAGGAAGCCCGGGTCTCGGATGGGGAGCGCCGTACACCCCGCCTCGCTCCGTAGGGCCGCGGCCTCCCGCGCCTTCTGTTGTTCCGCGTTCTCAAGGTAACAGGCTCTTTGCGCGCCAGAAGCGCCGCCTTCGGCCCGCCCTAACCACGCTCCCTATAGGCCATGCCCCCAGTTAGACCACGCCCCTCCCCGCCTTGGCGTTGCCTGGCTCCGCAGCGCCCCCTAGGCACTCTCCCTCGAGACTGGTACCATTCACTTGGACTCGTCTTCAAGTGCTGAGTAGTATTACCCTTGGTAAAATGAATGTAAGACTAATTCCACGCTCCTCAGTATTTTGACTACCGAGTCAGAGTTTTTAAAGTAATATTTGTAAAACAAAATAATCCATTTTATAGTTTGCAGTTATCTGGGCGCGGTGGTGGGCGTGTAATCCCAGCACCCTGAGAGACTGTTAGTTAGGTGGGTCTCAAACTCAGCCCAGCCTGGGCAATTTAGCAACTTAGTGAAACCCCTGTCTCATAATTTTTAAAAAGTGGGCTGGGAAAGTAGCTCAATGCAAAAGTTCAACTGGCAGTATTACAATAAATAAACAAAGGTTACAACTCAGTGGTGTTTACTATTTAAAGGCAAAATGAAAGATGCCCCCTCGCCTTTGATGGAATGAACCGACCAAAGGGAAGGTGTAAAAATTTATTAATGTGAAAAAGAAGGAATCACAGTGGCAAGGAGTGAAGTGATGTTGTAAGACTGCGATTACCAGCTGAGCCAGTATGATTTCAAACTTTACACAGCAATTTTCCATGGAAGAGGGGAAAAAGACAGGTTTTAAGGAAACGATAAGCGATTTTAAGGGGAACTCAGTGGTCTTGGAGAAATACAAAATGGCCTGATTAGGCCTAAGAACAATTAATTGTAAATGATTCTTTTTGAAATATCAAATAAGGCCAAAATGAAAGACAATGATGTGTGGCATAAATCTTTCCAAATGTGTTAAAAGTCTAGCCAAATGTGTTTGTTGTTCTTTGCCTTGCAGTGTGACTTTCTACTCTCCAGTAGTGGGGACCAAGCCACATCTCCAGTCCATTTTATTTTTATTTTGCGACAGGGTCCTGCTAAAATTCCCTAGGCTACATTTGAATTTGCAGCAACCTGTCTGCCTCAGCCTCCCAGAGTGCTGAAATTTCAGGTATGGCCACTATGCCCCCTTACAATAGGACATTAGCTAAGGGAGCTCCAGGAAAAAAAAGCAATTTTCTTTCTTGGTGGTCTGGACTTTAAGCAGACAAGCAGATAATATAGTCTCTGTTGGCATCTGTTGCCTTCTAAATTCCTTTAAAATACTCTGCCTGCCATGGTACTGTGTTTTGGGGTTATGGTCTCTTTTAATACATTCATGCTGTACAACTTTTGTGTCTGGTTCTGAATCATTTTCATCACCTCCAAAGAAAATCCCTATACCACGTAGTGTCACTGGGTAGCTCGCTTCTAAAAGTGGCTCGCCAACTAAGTGTTACCCAGTCCTGGATTACTCAGCTCTCCCTCTGGGTTCTTGTCCTCTGAACAAGTTTTTTGTTTTTTTTTTTTCTTTAACTCAAACAAAGAATTATATAAAATGAGCAAACAGCAGTGGCCAAGTTTATTTGAGAAAGTAAAAGTGAAGAGTAGGGGAGAAACTGGCTCTGCAGAGCAAACTTGGAACTAGTAAAAGAGCAAAAGGCAAGATAAAAGAACACCCTGGAGAAAGCAGAGTAAGGAAAAGCCACAATTGCAAGCTCTTCATGCCTGCCTCTTCTTTTAGACTGTCCAAACTTCGAAGAAAACTGAAAGAAATTCTACAACTGGGTCCTAAGAGGCAGTGCTTCTCAGGCACCCCACATCTCAGGCATCAGATCTGGGGAATCTATCCTATTGGAGTCACTCTGAGAAGTCTAGGTGCAAGCCTTTGGGAACTATTCTGAGCATGTGTTCTGAGATCTTGTAATCAACAGGTCACAACTACTTCCCCACCAGTTTTGCCAGGCCCTGATCTATCTCATTTCCCCCAAGGTGCAAATCCCTGTATTTTTTTGTTGGGTGCCCAGGGAGTGGAAGTCTCTGTCTTCTCCAGATTCTTCAAGCCAGAAGGGGCTGAAGACTCAACATATCGGAGTTACATGCTCTCCAACTACTTTAGGATCCTATAGTTCACTGGGTGGATGAAGAAGGAAATCCTTATTTATAAAACAAATTAGAAGAGCCAGGCATGGTCGCTCATGCCTGTAATCCCAGCATTTGGGAGGCTGAGGCAGGAGGATTATTGTGAGTTTGAGACCATCCTGGGCTACAAAGTGAGCTCAAGGCCAGCCTGACCTGCACAGAGTGACCCTGTCTTAAAAAAAAAAAAAAAAAAAATTAGAGGCTGGGGATTGAGGTCAGGGGCACAAGCATCTGCCTGGCAAATGTGGGGTCATGAGTTAAATTCCTGGTACAAAAAAAAAAAAATTAGGTACCTGGGATTTATACTTCAGATCTAGAAATCATTTGAGTAATTTCAAATGATGTACAGCTCTTCATGTAAAAAAGATGTTTTGTGGTCACAGTTATTCAAAAATAATTACATTCAAATAACCTGACATGCCTTAGCAATTACAAAACCATGATTTTGACATTTGACAAAATAAGCAAAAGTGAAATGCTAAGAGATGTGAACAGCAGCTCTCTTGTTTAAGTGTTAAGTGTTCTGTTTAAGAGGGCTGCAAACACTCAGGTAGACAACGGGCTGGCCCCCTAATTTAAAAACTAAAAGGGGCTAGTGAGACCCAAAACGTACAAAGCATCCTGAGAAGGGGAAAGGTGAAAAATAGCCTAAAAAAAGAAAGCAGGGGCTGGGGATTTAGCTCAGTGACATAAGCGCCTGCCTTGCAAGCAGGCAGTCGTGAGTTTGATCCCTGGTACCAATAAAAACGAAAAAGACAAAAAAAAAAAGGAAAGCAGAGGTCATTGTTAACAGTGTATCAGGATTTAAAAGTCACAGTAGCCTTGTCGCTCTGTTTAGTTTGACTATATTTTGTTCCGGTCTGTCCACCCATATCAGATTTGAGGGCACAGACATCTAGCCCAAAAGTTGTAGGGTTATACCATGTAACTATCCTTAATTTCCTATTAACTTTAAACTGAAACCCTATATTACTTACATTGTCTTACTATGACTGATCTTATTTGAATCTGTTTTGTTAGACCGTGGTTTTGCCTTGGCTGATTTTATTTGAATTTAGTATGCTTGCTAGTATCATGTCTAAAAGTAGAGGCAACTACTCTGAAGATTGACAAGATGTAAAAAAATATCCATATCGGTTTTGATTTTTTTTTTTCGGTTTTGATTATTAACCGCTCTCAAGTCCTACAATGTTTTCAAAGTTGCCCTTTTATAAAAATAGCTATGTTTCCATTCTCACAAGTTGAGGTAAAAAAGAAAAAAGCAAAAAAAATGGTATGTAATACTATGCTTAACTATATTAAGCCTGATGATGTGGACAACTCTATTGTACATAACAAGAGAAAGCATAGTAACTACGGTAGATCACCTAATATTGTGGTCATATGTGTCTTTTTTTCATTGCATGTTTTTCTAGGAATTTGTTTTGTTGTCTTGTTATGATCTGTTTTTCCCTATAATACAGAAAGGATAGATATACATGTAGAAATTCACACATGGGAAGAATTTTTTAAACTATTTATGGGAACAGATTATATAATACAAGATGTAATGAACAGATATTCTGAAGAAGAAGAGACACTAAGAAACCCAATGCTAATTCTGTAACATTATGATATAAAATATAGCAATACTATTATACACTGTTCAGAGTGCTATTAGTCTTGTCTCTTAAATTCAATTTCAGCATATGTAAAGATAAGGACAGCTACTCCAAAGAGAATGAGAGACATTATGGTAGTCATTATTGACTTTCCCAATGTCAGATCTTGAAGACCTAAAAAGCCTTCATCATCCTGTAATGATTTGATTAGTTCTATAACATGCAGTATGTATTCAATGTGTGTGAAGATAGGGACAATTATTTGGAAGAAAACTTGAGACAATAAGATAGACAGTGAAGATCTCCAGTGGACTTGCTTTGAAATCTGTATTTCTTTAAATTGTTGCTTTATGAACTGTTTTGTTCTCTTTTGATATGTTTAATCTTACCCTCTTTAAGATAAAACAAATGTGTAGGACTGATAACCATATTACTAAGTTTTTGTTGGATCATTGTACAGAACTGTTGGCCATGTCACTATTTCAATGTCACTTTATATGCTTTAATTTTGTAACCTGAACAACTATTTCTAAGATGACAATATCAACTATCAACTATCAACTTATCAACTAGTGACTTTTTTATTGTTTATTTTTCTGTGATTCTGTATTATTTCTACCCTTTTTTATCCATTTTTTTTTCATTTCTTTCTCTTTTAAAAAAAAAAAAGAGGGCTGCAAAACTCAGGTTCTATTGCTTTAGTTAGCATAAACCAGCCCATGGTACAGTATGCTGAGTCTTAAAGTACAAATCCAAAGAAAGTAATACTTTTACTAAGTTACAAAGCTTTTGGCAAACCAATACAGTACTCATTAATACAATAAAATAATATTTCTGTTGGAGTCATATTAATTTAGTGATAATTTTCTCTCCAAAAATACCATTCAAGTACCAAATAAAAATCCTGGGGTTTCTAGCAGAGGAAGCTATTTCATACAAGTTAATGTCTTTTACAACCATACAATTTCTTCTTTTAAAGTGAGTTTGTCACGCACACAATCTAGTTTGTAGCACCAAGGCAACTGTGTGTACCTAAGCCTCACCTATGCTTTGTTCTGGGTTTGGTCCAAAGCCAGGATAGTCTCGATGCCTGGAAAGCTTTAACATTCTACCTTACGAAGACTCACTGGGCTCCAGTGGCCCACCATAGGAGCCTCTGGCATTTAGTGGGACCGGAGCCATGCTGGGACCTGGAGCCCAAGCAACCCGTCCCCTGCTGCCTGTTTTGTTTTGTTGAACTTCAATACACATGAAAGTATGGACAGCTATTTTGAAGAGAACAAGAATCTCTATGACAGCTATTGGTGATTTCCTTATTGTCTGGCTTTGAAGACCTAGAATACCTTCCTC